GTTTCATGAACCCAGGTCTTGGGTTCCTCATGGAACCCCCTTGCTGGGTTTGCGGAGGAAGAAGGGTGAGAAAGAGGAAGGGGCAGATGGATAAGAGAGAAGAAGGGAGGAAGAAGAAAAAGAATATAATAATAATAAATTATGTGAATTTTTATTTAAATATGAAAAAAATATCACATGAAAAAAGAAAAATGCCATCAAGTTGGTTTTAGTCCACATCATCAATTTTTTCCATGTGGCATGACGTGTAATAACACGTCAACAATGAAAAAGAAAAAAGACAAAATGTTTAACAGATTATAGTGCCACTCTGTCACTTAACTGACGGAAGGACCAAAAGGGGGCCGGATTTTGAAATTTAGGGACTAAAAAGGGGATTTTTTCGGTACAGGGATCAAAAAGGGGCTTTTTCCTATAGTAGAGGGACCAAAAAGGGTATTTAACCTTTTAAATTTAATTTTAGTTTAAATTTAAGATTTTTTAATATAATATCATTAAAAAAAAGTAAAATAAGTAAATTACATAAAATAAAAAAAAAGGGTTAATCAAGGCATCAATTATTCTGCCCGGCGGGTGGGACGGGCTGGGCATTTGGAGCGGGTCCAACGAGTCTGGTGGGCTAACACGGGCCAATTTGCAAAACGGGCCAGTGCATGAAACCGGCCCGTTTTTAAGTCCGGGTCTGGTTCAACCGGTTCAACCGGCCGGGCCGGGCCGGGTTTTAAAACCATGGATTTTAGTGGACGGAAATTGGAAGTGTTACTCCTGTCCACAAACGACTTACCATTCAAAGAGTCGGCATATTCTCCGTTGCTTGAAAAAAACGATTTATTTATTAGAATATTTCGAGGAATATTCTCAAATGGCAAATCTTAATGACAATAACAAGCATTATTGCATGGTTTTTTTTTTTTTTTATGCTTTTGATTAGGAATTATAAAATCGAAAAGAGAAATGATTTTGGGATATTTTTTTAATCTTCTTTTGGTACAATTTAATTTGTTATTTAAATAATTTATTCTTTTTATTTTTGTAAAATTTATAATATTAAATATATTTACTTATTTAATAACATGTAAAAATTATATAAAAAGATGATATAAAAAAATTATTCCTATAAAACTACTCAATAAAAAATAACTTTCTTAATTTTTTCAAAATTTTTCCAACTAATTTAAAATTTAAATCCAATGTCTTTATATAGAGTCTTAAGTTTTTATCAAATTAAATTACTGTGATATGAAGTCTTTTCTATAACATAAAAAAATGGATTTCATTCATAATAAAAACGGTTACAAACTTAAAAACAAATACAATAGATTTTACAATGTAATTTTTTTTTAAATAAGGGCAATTATAGGAAAAAAGGGGAAATTGATCAGTATATGCACTGAAAAAGCACTTATGATACGTAGATTAAGTGTAGATATTTAAATAATTGGTGAGATTTAAATTTTTAATCAATTCTACTTAATTACTAAAACTTTGAAACCAACTATTAAAACCCCAAAGACTAGCTCGATTTTACAATGTAACCAATCCTACTAAAATTTACCAATCTAAATGAATATTTATTTATAATTATAATTATAATATTAATAATATAAATAAAAATAGGAGATTTAGGAGAATTGAGTTTTACTTTTTCCGCGGATATTGTGCGGTCCCGTATGCATGCTGCCGTCTGTTCTCTGTTTTACTGGTTCGGTTTCTTCCCTTCCAATTTGTCAGCCGGTTTCCTCTCCGTTGGGTTTTCTCTCCGTTCTCAACCCGATTCCTTTATATTGACTGTTGCAAATTCTCAGTTTTTATTTTAGTTTTGCTTAAGTTAAATGCTAATTTTTAGTTTTTAGATTTTAAATTTTAAATATTTTTAATTCATAAATTTTTTTTACTTTTTTAGTTTCTAAATTATAAAAAATATATTTTTAATTATTTATTAATCAATTACTCAATTAAATTTATTCATAGTAAATAATTAAAAAATATAATATTTTCTATAATTTAGAAACT